TTACGTAGTATACTATCTGTAATGTTTCTTCTTGTAACGAGATCAAGAATCTGAGACTTTGAGCTTTCCTTTAGTCTGCTTTATTGGAAGCACATATCAAGCGCGATATCATACACACGTTAACGAGACGTAAGAACTGTGACAATAAATCCGCTCTAGTACGAACATAACTTTAATACTATATGCTAATGCACGTGAACATTTGTAGCATGTGATCTTAATCTAGTAACAGTAGATAAGGTGTAGATAAGCCTTAAATAGTATTGTACGATATCTAGGATTCCCCATGTTCTATGTCGCGTACACTACAAGGTAACAAGAGTAGTCGATGTTACGACACTTATGGTCTGATAAAGAATTGATACACAAGATATAGTAAGAGATAGGTTTTTATTGATGAGCAAGATGACAAGAGCGACGAGGATGAGTGTACGAAAGCGAACCATCAAGTGTCGAAAGGAAAATCGATATACAATATAGTGTAGTATAATACCAGTGCAGAACTAATAGGTGTCAATGTCTGATTGCCTAGTACATTAAGATGGGATATACTCTGTTGCATACTATACGTGTTCTGTTCATAAGTCACTAGTCGTGTAAAATAGGATATATGACAACATTATCAATAAAGTAGACTCTTTAATTACCAACACAAAACCTGAATCACTTTCTCGAAGACCAAACAACATTAAATTACAGACATACCGTGAAAAATATATAAATGCAGTATTAGGGATGTCCATAAGACATTTACCTGCAATACAACCAAACGTACATGTACCGACGATCTTCCATCACCAGGAAACGTGTAATAAACTATATTTCTCTCCTAGATAAACCTCAAACCAAAACTATATTAAAAATCGGCAAATTCGTAGTGATTCTATATAAATATGAACTATTAATATATGAATGAAATTTAATAATGCAGGATGAATGATTTGTATTATTGCATTATACCATAGGGATGAAAATGATTATTGTTCAGTATCCGAAACTCAAGAAATTACTTTTACGGCGTTATTTACATCAAGTTTATCAGTATTACGCTACTGCAGATATTTAATGCTTTTCTTTATATGGATTGGGTTTCTGGTAAATCTAATTAATAATGAATTTAAAAAGCAATCTCTTGACCAGCAAATTGCGACAGAAATTTATTGCTGCAGACCGGATCCACAATATTCAGGATTTTTGGGGCTAGCATATTTAAGAATTTTAACGGTTATTTTGAGCTCGAGCCTTTATGGTAACCGTAAGCCTGAAGAAAAGATTATGGAGACTGATACATCATTATGCCACTGTTTATGCTCAAAGAAAACAAGAAAAGTGATATATGTATCTAATGATCTATTAAAGTTGTTTTGGCTAGGATCAGCTTTAATTATGTCTACATATTATGAAATTTATGGATCAGGAAATACATTAAGCCTCGAGAACTTGGACTTGAACACTTTATATTCCACTTGTAGATCGTCCTTGCCATTGTCTTTGATCATTTTTCAGCTAGAAAATCTTTGTCAATCAAAAGAAAATGCAATGAGGGCATGCTATAAAAGCATTAATATAATGGAAAAGGCATTCCAGAAAGCTGTATCAGTCAACCCTAGAATAATAACGTTACCTTCGGAAGGTAATTATGCTGTGTATTTATATCAAAGATTTATATTTTTAAAAATATTAGTACCTTTATTACGATTAGATGCGCTATCATCCTGAATAACTACAGGACTATGTCCTAAATTAATTCTATCATGTTCTACATAGGCAATTCGCTGCAGAAAATATACTTGGACAACAACGACGTACTTGTTAGTGATCTCGATGAAAAATTACGGGCAGATGTTATGAACAAGTTAAAAGAGAGCGGCAAAAATGATATGGGATGCAAGATTAAGCTTGATGTCATTGTCAACAATGGGAAATTTAGTTTCGAAAATTTTTTTATTGTAATTTTTAATCAAGAAGGCAAGACTACATTAGATCGTAAATTAACCAATGGTTTAAAATCTGCAGTTTACGATCATTATAAAGAAAAGAAATCAAACTGTAGTTTAGAAAAAAAAAAAATTACATAAAAAAGTTATATAAGGCAACGGATAACGGTTGGGCTATTAATATGAAATTTCTAAACCAACAAACGGGTGATGATAGCAAGGTAGTAGCTGCAATTAAAGTTCTACTCATTTTAATCCCTTGCACACATTTTATTTACCTGCTCATTATCGAAAATTACTGTTCATGGATTAAATGTAGTCCTTATTTCAATCTCATTCATAAAAACGTTAGTTTCTTTTGGTACTGGTTATGTGTACCACTTCTAATTAGTTGTTGGAAAAATCGTATTAGCGATAACTCAAAGCTGACCATATGCAAGAAAATGTGCGAATGGATGAAAAAAATACAGCTGGAAAATTGTATTAGCAATGACTCCAAGCAGACTATGTATGAGTATATTTGCGAATGGATTATAAAATGTAAACAGATTTATGAAGCACAGAAAAGCAATCACAGAGAAATAAAAGTTTTTGCAAACCGTAGAAAAAGATACAACAAACGCCGAAGAAGTCGAATGCCATCGAAGTATGATTTACCCTACTAACTTCGTCTCTGATAACTCAGTATCTAGTACAAATTTTAGTTTGTTCTGTAGTAAATTTCGTCTTTAAATTGATACTAGTGATCATTGCTCACTACCATATTAGAAATTGTTGATGACTAATAGTAGCCAGTTGACTAATTATGTTACAAGATTTATGCAGCTAGAAACCCCTATGGTTGTTAAAATGCCCTTCAGAGAAAGGGCATAGACGTTAATAGAAGAGTCGCGGCGTCTTAAGTAGGATGATTTAGATTGCAGAAAATAATGATGTACCATTAGAGAAAAGTATTTTGTTTGATAGCTCATGTCTGATTGTAGATTAATCAAGTTGTCATAAATAGATTTAACGAAATTTTTATAAGAATTGCAGAGATGAGCTCACGGAGGAGAAGAGATTTCACTTCGCTTTGAACTAGTAATACTTTAAATTTTAGACTAGATTCTTGAAGTATTAATTATTGCTCTACTATTCTTTAACCTTGTAATAAAAGCCTTTCAGAAAACAGCATTTGACTAAGATAGTTATTATGAGACACATTTATTAAATAATTGTTGTGGCTTTAAATTTTGAACGGATGGATACAATCAGGGACAACTAAATAGTAAAGAAAGATTAATAGATTAGGTTAGAGATTTTTAAGCTATTGTATTTAGAAAATAGATTACTAGCTATTTTATTATCATATTGTCAACAATATTGTGATATTATTGCAATCATCAAGCCAAGAACACTATGACTAGACAAAATGGCCAATGTAACCGTATTAGTCCTTGCAAGGGGTAAGTTAACTTGCAAATATGCTTATATGTGTATACGAAATTGCTGCCCTATAATTATTGTTGAATTTATACCCCTGCATAGGACGACACTATATTGAAAGACCGGAATGAGCAACCATGCGATCTGTAATAACGCTAAAAAATCGGTAAAGGAAGGGTACATGTCGTAGAAAATAAAAAGACAGTAACATCTTTAATATACAAAAATATAGGCTAACAAGAATGAGCACGTATGGATGATCCGCAGTAACATCTACTCAAATGATAGAGTAATAGTAAAGGAAAGAGTAAATGTCGAGGAAAAAATAGCATCTACAGTATAATAAAGAGTTCCTGTATAAGTATTGTAAATCTACAATACAAAGTTCCTCGGCAAAAAATGCGCTGGAAAGAAGTTATGCGGGTGCATAAACCACAATAACATCTATAAAAATGATAGGATAAATGTCATACAGAATCTAAAGAGTAATAACTAACATATAATGAAAAAATAACAAAAAAACGATAAGGCTGACAAGACAGAATACACGTGCATAACCCTTAAGAATATCTACAAAAATTGTGGAGTGAATGTCGTGTAGAATCTAAAAAGTAAGAACATATAATGAAAAAATCTAAAAATAATGATGAAAGTAAATTTTGTCGAGAAACTATAATACCTTCTACAAAAAAATGATTGAGTAATTTACTGAAGAGATAAAATGAAATCATAATAACGTAGTTGCAAACATTTTGTTACTATCTAAAAATAAACGGAAGTGAATCTCTTATTTCATATCACAGTACTTTGCTAGCTATATATAGGTATAAGAGAAAATTAAAAAAAGAGACGGAATTAAAGCCAAAATGCAATTTTATCAATCAATCATTTTAAAGTACGCGTATGCTGTAGTAAGCTAAGTATTAATACGAATGACGTGTAACCAAATTAGCAAGGTAAAGACGATAAATTCTAAATTTTGTAATTGGTATTTCTTTGACAAGATCACAAAGAAACGAAAGTAACTGCGGTGCTTTGCTAGCTATATAATCTATGTATGACAACTCAGAATTATAGGGAAAAATTAGTATTTAAAGATATTTCTCAAATCTGTGTGAGGTATTGGAAGTTCATTGCTATCGTGCTATCCGTAGTCCGCAATAATGACGTATTTTAGACGAAACTTCATCATGCTATATCAGGTATCTGGTAGATTACTTCAAGGAGCATCGATTTTAGTATGGGATGAGGTACCTATCGGTCATCAACACCTATTGGAAGCACCTGATGAACTCTGTGGCACAGAGTTTGTGCGATGTTTTAATGTAAGCCATGATATTACATGTACGGACACACCAAAAATACTATACTTATAGCAATATACCTCGTAAAGCTAAGGTAGCCTGCACTGTTCTCATATTTGCCAACATTTCTTAAAATAAAAATAAGAACATTTCTCTAATACTTGGTTCTTTATTGTATACTTCAACCTTTTGGATCTTCAGCTATCTTATTGCCGAAAATATCACACACATATCCATTATGAAGAAATTTATATATCCTTAAAGCTAAGAAATAATATATAAAACTCCAAGAGAGCAGCTAATGATCATAAAATATTTCAACAATAGCTAGAAAGCTATAATATTTATTGTCATTGGTTATTGAATCTGGGTGAATTACGATTCCCTACTATTGCAAGAGCTCCATTTAAAAAGATGTCAACGAGACACATACGGTATAGTACTGTGCCTTCAGAAATGTGTACCTTTTCCAAAGATATATCAGCGCAGAAAGTTAATTAAGATTCGAATTGTTGTGATGATGATCTTTAGTGACTCACAGATTGGATATTAATAACTTCTAAAAATAGCGTTATCGAAGAATTATCATAACGAAATTACAAGTTCTATACCCTTGATTTCTGTCTTAGAAAATATTTTGACAATGGGTTGCTGGCCTTCCGCTATACAGTAACATAGCGCGTAATCATCATCGGTTGTGACGATGCACGATGGGTAAACTGTAAAATACTACAATTCTATGACATGTATTTACATTAATATTTGCAATACTGTAGTACAATAACTGTAATATAAACTAATGTTGTGAGTCACGATCCGTCAGCAACGCGACAGGCTAAACTACTAGTTATTATAATTATACGCGTATAATCAATAATTCCAATTTAAACATGTGTCAAATAGTTCTGCTAATATGGTTATGTTGAGTAGATTGTAGGAATACTGAATAAACATCAATATGCACGTCGATTGTTTATTGCTAGAACGAGATTAATGCAGTTAATTCTGAATTTGAAATAAATTAAATTTCATTAGATGATTTAAAATATTGGAAAGAGTCTCCAGTATACTGTTTACTTACACACTGTGAAAGTATTTCTGATTGTCCGTGAGTATACAAGATTCTATTCGGTTTTTATCTTTCTATTTGAATAACTGTAAGATAGATTAATAGTTAAGTGAAATTCGATATCGTCAAGGATTTTTAAGGTTACACACATTGTTACAATCGAAATTTGTAATGAGGAAATTTAAACCACTACAGAGACCTAACGCAATACTACGAGTCTACTAATAGTTTAGCTAAGAAAGCATAGGCATAATAATGCTTGCTGATTATTCTAGAGATGCCTATTTCAATAACTAAAATATGAGTAAAATAGTACAGTCTAGTAATGCCTTTATCTACATAATTCTCCAGTCATAAAGCTGTTGATAGGTCCTATATAAAATTTTCAATAAATGCTAACAAAATATCATTACGAAATTACTAAACATCGGCGTAGTCGATTGATTAATTAGTACCTTCACCTTGTATCCCCTGTCTCTATATAGTCAATCTGTAATGTCAATAATGTTAATGTTAATCTTAATCTTAATAGCTGCTAATAGATTTACGTATAAGATACTGTAATGTAAAAAAGGATACACTAGCATCAAATAGTAATTTCTCTATCTTTTGGTTTGTATTTGGTATTTGTGAAATACTACGATAGCGTCTTGTATTAGATTCAGGCATTTGTATGGCGTGATAGCCATTACTTGAAGTTGGGTACAGTATTTAAAACTAGAATTTAGGGTTATTGAAGTGAGATGGAGGTTAGCTAGTAGCCATTAATAACAAGAAGGCGGTGCATATAGCATAGTAATAAAGAATATCAATTAATGCAAATAATCATGTTAACATTTTATTTAGTTGAAGAGCATGTCACGAACGTGTTGCACGCGTAGAGTACGAGTATAAGAAATGCCATTGATTTGTAGAGAAAAAGAGCAAATACGATAATAATAATCGTTGCAAGCTTTATAAACTCTCCATTTATTGTATAGCACGTGTTAGATGCTAAACTTACAGCACAGCCTTATTATAGAAGGTTCAGCTATTAATGATATCGTCCAACAGTTGATGAACCAAGCTGTATTTAGTTTAAGATATTGAAGTAATATAATTCAGTAGTGGATCCCAATTTCAAGGCCAGCAGCCGGCAGTCTTTCTATCGACTTTCGACAGCAACTCATCAAATTGGCCTTAAGCCAGCGAGATGACATATTAACTACCCCTCTCCTTCACTAAATGTAGAGTGGGCTATTCATTAAGTTAACAGAGATTTTTGATCTAATCTAAATGGATTACTCTTATGTTCGTGGTAATTGGTAGTAGATTTAATTAAGAATCGTTAATTGATTAATCAGAATCATTTATTTATACATTTCCCAAATTACTTTATATATGGTACGATTAATGTGTGTGTAAAACACGTTTAAGTAGAAATATATATATTTATAAGAATATACAGCGAAATTATAGTCTATTAATTTAAGTGATTCCACAATCTAAGTACTCTATATCGTAAATACTAATAAGTAGATATAGTACTGCATCTATATATAACAATCACAAGCTGCTATTTTATCATCATATTGTCGGCAACTTTGTGATATTGTTGCTAAAATCAAGCCAATAGCATTATGTGTTGGCTACTTTAAGAGGAGATAAAATGGCCAATGCAACTGCATTCTTCCATTCAAAGGGCAAGTTAGCTTGCAGATATGCCTATGTACCAAAGGTTTGTCGGTAAAATCATGATTATTTTAGTCTACCTTGTTCATTTCAGGAAGCAATTGTTGAGATAGTCAAGGGATCGTTCACCGGTTCACGCCAAAGTATGATGGATACTGTATCAGATACACATTCGCCTAGAAGGATTTCTCTACTTGTCACGATTTATAGGTACAACACTACTAAGCTAAACAGAAGTCACATACTTCTGCTGGCAAGGTTATATTGAGTAGGCTGTAGGGATATTGGATCTATATCAACATAGATGACTTAGTGCAAATGCGAGTTTAATGCAGTAAACTCTGACTTTGTAATAAATTTCATCAGATGATGCAACATTGCAAAGGATCTCCATTCTCCTCTACACAGTACTGTTGATTTTGTACACTACAAGAATACAAGTAGATATCCATACAAGATCCTATGAATTAATAACGGTCCAATTAGGGAACCGTATTAAAATCATAAACGAAAATCTCATTTCGTAGGATAGACTACGACCCGATTCGCGCGTTAAAACATTAGGACTGGTTGCGATAGTTTACTTATGCAAAAGATAATGGAAGACTTTAGTAAATTAGATTTGTAACACAAGGTCTACTAAAAAATTGATTACTTATTGCCCAGTTATGGGTTAAGCCATTATCGAGGATTGAACTACAGCCTATTTTTGTAACTGTACACGTATACATTATTTATCTTGATTTATTTATCACAGAAACTATGGACAAATATTTATTAAATGATCAAGCATAATGTTGTAAATATTTAAGCCATGTATTATTATATTCTTGTTTCTAATCACAGATCTATTAATGTGGGAAACAATTTAAACTTGCGATGATCAATTTGTTACCAGTCTGGCAAAATAAAGGGTCAAGTCAATGTTCGATTTACAGCAGTTAATAATCTTGAGTTATTAAAAGCCTTTGTAAATTGAAATAGGATTGTAATCTAATCCTTGTAATCCAAGCTGGAAAGTTACCAATTTTTTAAATTCAAAGTTGTATTAGAAATTATTATCATAATTAAAAGCATGACCGTAAATTAGTTTAACCTCGAATATGATCTAATATTTTCAACAAATTAGCGTTAGAAAAAGGATGATAACTTAAATCAAAAATGATCTAACTGAAATAACTACCGTTATGAATCGTACAAAGCTATAAACGTCACAAATTTCGAATTAATTAGCAGATCCTAAGTTCTTTCTTTTAATCATGCTAGAGTTTCTTACCCGTACATTTATAGATAATACACGTATAGTATCAATAATATAATTTACACTGGCAGGTGCCACATAATTATAGTTGATTAAACGCAATTTTCATCCGTAATACTTGATTCCTATTAATCTGCTGACAATTACAGCACAAATTTTATATAATAATTTTATTTTGTCACATTTTTGGAGTGACTTGAATGATATCGATACGAACTTATCTAAAACAATGGAGTTTGCATAACAGAAAATTTGAATAAGCTGATTAATTTGTTAAAATAATTATTTGTTCAAAACTTATTGAACGTTCAATCATCAGGCTGAAACAATCTAAAACGCCGTAAAATAATCTATACATTTGAAAATCCAAAAAGTGATATTTATATCTTTCAATAAACAGTACCATCTTTATAAACTTAGTATCTCTTAGCAAATGAAAATGTTAATTATAGTAATTACGTAGATATGTCAGCTTTCCTGTTTGAACATAAATGACAGAAATTACACATGGAATCTTCTTCAAGGATGAATTTGTTTGTATGCATCATCATTGTTATGTAGTCAATATACGAGTGTTCAATTAAATAATTGGATTAAGCATAAAATTTTTTCTCAACAATTAATCATGTGATAAAAGTTTAAAAAATATCAACAATTACAATATGCAGGTTTTAGAAGTGATTGCTAATCAGTTTTCTACTTCAGAGGCGTCATTTGCAGGTTTACTAGCACAAAATTTTCGAATTTCTAAAAAGAAAAGCGGACTAACGTAAGGAAAAGAGGTATCGCGCATTAGAATTTAGTAAAATGTTGATTCTGACCTTCAATAATATTTTTGTAGGCCTTAGTAGCGGGTGAATCAGGGACTTCGGAAAAGTAGGATATTCCTTCATCGCAACATTTGCCTAAGAGTGAATTACAAGATCAATTTAGATTTGACGAAAGGGTCTGGTACCGAAAAGTTTTTAGGTAAAGTATATAATAGGATTATTTTAATAACCTATTCTTGGATCCAACGGAATTTTACCAATAAATGGGACATCCATATCTATTGCCATTTGCCGTCCACCACCCGTTGTAGGGGGAAATATCTGCGACTCCGTCTGTAAATAGTATGTTCAATTGTGCTAAATCAACATTTGGGTTAGCATTGAAACGCAATTTTAAATCATTCGCTACCAAAACATTCATCTTGCCTTGCATTTTGGACATATAAAGCCGCTCATATTTTCTACAACACCAAGAACTGGAATACCAACTTTTTTACAAAAACTTATTTCCTTACGAACGTCAAGAAGAGCTACTTCCTAAAAGCAGTATGCAGCAGGTGAGCTACTTTGAATTGCATTATTGAAATAGCCTTACGCTAGAGTATGTGATACGATCGTAATATTCTACCTGAGGTGTGGTTATTACAATAGCACCATCAACACCAGCACCTTTTAGATATTGTGCAATTGAGATATGTTCATCCGAGGTTCCCGGCGGCGTATCAATCAGTAAATAATCTAATTCTCCCCAGTTTACATCTCTCAAAAACTGCTTAATTAAACCTAGATATGAATGGAAATTTTTACAATTATTTTAAAAGTTTTCAACATTTCAAATTCAATACGGTCAGTTCTACCATTTTTTTTTGGACCTCTCCAAATAACGGCATCAGCTGGGCCAGATAGGAGAAATCCGATTGACATGATGGATAGGTTATCTTCGACAAACTGCAAGTTAATGGATAGATTATTATGAATAAAATTGTTCATCAAGTGATAGATTAATTAATAATTATTGACTGCAACATGACATGACCATTCTCTTACCACAGGTGACCAACCAGACATACTTTGAAACACCTATCAATGTGTATACGAGTTAAAGTTTAACGAGTAAAACCCATCCAGTAAGACTATGTTAAATTTTTGATCATTGCATACATGGACCCAAATTGTACATAAGCAGGTTTATTTTTACCTGGTGTCCTTCCACTCCCATTATTCTTGGTATAGACGGACCGCATAAATCAATATCAAGGATAGCAATCTAAGCCATTATTGTATCGAGAGAGAAGGATAAACTGACGATTCGATATATACTCGTAGAAATTTGGTAGCAAAAACAACAAACAGGCATAAGGCAATACTGCACTAGCACTTACATCTTCATCTTCATTGGTGGCTAAACCACGTGCTAAATGTGCAGTAAAAGAGCTCTTACCCACTCCACCCTTACCAGATAGTATTAGTAACTTGTGTTTTACTGTCTGTAAGCGCTGTTTAATAATTTCAATGGCTGTCGAATAGAGGATTTAAACATTTATTAAACGATCCCTCGTCACCAGATATCCATGGCAATAGCAAAACTACGTGTAAGCATTGATACCTGGATCAGGAGGTAATGAAGCTCCCGAAGCACATAGCTGTTGATTTGCACAACCATTGCATGCAGAAACTTTACCAGCTTGTTGGCTCTGAGTACCGGGGCATTCTATACGTAGAAAAGGTATCATTCAAGGTTTATCAATGAAAGCATAACCTACTTCTAGTACATCCTGTCTTGTAAAAGATTGCAAATCTGCAATGACTGCCCGAGCATTGTAGCAGAAGTTAGCAACTCAAAAGTGCATGACAAATTCTTCTACTCATAATACGATCCTACATGATTACAGATAGAATTTTAACCTATAGGTGCATTGGTTGGAACATCGGCCATTTTGACGATTCTTTAACGTTATTTCTTCAGCAATCCAATGCTAATTAATATTAGAACGATTATTATTCTAATTTGGCCTGCTAGCATAGCCAACCAACGTCGATTGCTCTTGGCTGCATCGATGCAACCCTATTCTGCCTGCAGCCGATGACTCAGCAGAGTTGACTATACTGTAGTTTACTACTGAGTCCAATCGACTGTTCGGTAGGGTCTCCAATCCATTGCATAGGCTGGCGTACAGTCCATAGAACTGTCGATTACAGTATATAGACTGTACTGTGAAATACTGTACACTGTGGCAGACAGGGTAAATCAGAGTGACCAAACAAGCTGTAAGAAAATAGAGTTTGTATAAAAAGGGAAATGAGGCACATGAATTATATTGGATGTGGCAATGGTAAGACCCGATCGACTAAAGCAGCTCAGCGCAGCCATACTATGCACGCAGAGTTTAGGACTTTTAAGAAGAAAACTCGAACAAATCCCTGGCATAGCTTAATTAAACGAAACATTATCAAAACGAGCAGACTGCTAAAGACACATCATATCAAAATAAGGTTTAGTCCATCGCTAGTTACAGCAAGCACTGTCTCTTTTAACCATAAGGCAGACTATGAAGTTGAGGAGACCTGAGGAAGATCGAGTAACAATATCAGCAAACCATAGCAAATCGATAGACACTTACAGCCGATGCTGCAGGTATAAGCTATAGTATGTTATCCTGCGGACTGATAAGAACATACCATAGCAACGAGATGTCAGAAGTAAGCTCGCCAGCTACAGTACTGTACACTGTAAAGTAAAGTACAATATATTGTAAAGTACTGTATGTACAGTACAGTGTACAGTACTGTACTGTACTGAAAACGTACAGTACAGTGTACAATGTACAGTGTACAGTGTACGATACTTCTTATTCTGGAGGCACTGTAATTTTTGACGCCCACCCAGTCAGCGATAAGGGCATAACGTACAGTATAGGATCGAGTGGACTAATACAGACACAGAGTAGCCAACATATTCACTTAAGCCTGAGCTCCAACAGACGAGCTGCTCCAGTTGTGCAGCATTCTGATCGCCTCCAGCTACCTGAAAAGAAAGATTTCTCAAGTAAGCAGCATATATCCTTAATGTACTTTTACAACTGGTTCAATTCTTGAATTTTCTTACTATGACCTTGTTAGATGTATGTCGGTGCAATGTCTTAGTTTACGGCTTGCAGGAGCTGTAATGCTGCTTTGCATGAGGTCAAATGGCAAGCTGCTTTCTTGCCGGCATTTTGATCTATTTTGATATTGATCATGACATTCAATGAAGGATGGAGGCTAGTATGCAGCATGGCGAATAGCATGAATCTCCTGTAGTCCTCTGATACCCGCCAAATGTAATTTACACAAGTGTGCGATAGGAAATTGCTTCAGCGGTAATGTTAGTCGTTAGGATAGGAGCACATACGAGTATGCATGAAATGATCATTTCAATACCTGGATGATTGCAATCGACAGTAGACAACATTTTAGTCATCATTACTGTTGATATTCAAGGATGTCCACTTGTCCAGGCAAGCCTACGTTTCATCCACTTCTTGTATTTATTGTGGCAGCAATGGTATCTGAAATAAATGCTACTTCAGTTCAATTTTTAAGTAGCATGATACATCATACTGCTATACCTACTAAATCTTACCATCATAATATTAGATCATATTTGTGACGCTCACCGGCTGATTCAAATTCATTTATGACTTTGGAAATAGTAGCAGCTTGACAAATCAAACTTTAGATAGACTCACAAACTGATTATTGAAATTTAGTATCATATAAGTTGTTAGCGAGTAAGTAAGCTAGTAATGAGCATCGATTGATGCTATTAAACCATGCAAAGTGCAAGCTATCTACTCTCAAATAGTCTATTAGCAGTTCTAGTCCTCTCACTCTAAACTAACTTGCTACAGTGAGCACATGCTCGTATTGGAAATGTACCACGATGGGTATAGTATATCATTTTACTATTTTTCATCAATGCATTGCATTTTACTACTATTTCATGTTAGTGATATAACTCTATGACTATTAGCATTGATGACTAATCTTATTCGTAGTAACAATCATCGATTGGTAGTATGATTTAAAACATGTAATTCCGAAGCCATCCTTCGGTTTCGTAGTCTATTATCACTCTTAGTTCCGCGTTCTAGGTAACTGTTGTATCAACAGCAATAGAAAGTTAAAGCTTATGCAGATAACTTTAACCATGGTTTCTTCTTATGTATTTTCTATAGCGTTATCGGGATAATTTTCACTCTATGGGGAAATCAGCAAAAAAATTTCGCAAAGTAAAGAGCATCGATCCTTTCTATCGAGGACCAAGAAAAGCAGATAGCAAAGGGTAAAAAGATCATTTTGCAGTAAAGGGAATATTAAAACAGCTATAAGATAGCAATCATGTTTTTGGCCTTGTAATATACAGTACTATACTGTACATGTATAAATAATCTATAGGACCTCATACAGTACTGTAGTCATGTATGCATTTAAGTGTACGCTGATATTGACTATCATTTCTTCGTAAGTTTAAAGAAATGACTGCTGAACTGCCTATAGATTCTGTTCATAATTGCAAACACTGTGTAAAAAATCACCTCATTACTTATAGTAATCGAAATTTTGTCTTCATTCATTAAGCGATACTTATGATCGTCCACCATCAGCGGCTAAAGCGAATGACAAGAGACAGGGCGCTCATCCTAAAAGAAAATTTAAGAACAATCCAGAGTCTAATGAAAACAGAAAAAGGAAACCTCGACCTCGTAAAAGTAAATAGCTTTATTAATAATTACAAGAGACTTATAATGGGATACACCGTTGCTCTACTATTTCTATTTGTTGATAGTGCTCTATAGTATTGTTGCAGTGTGCGAGTAATCTTTGGCGTATTACATTATATGTTGTAAGTTACTGCGTGCTACGGCTTAGGGCTATTATGTAAAATTGTATTGGATCACTTCGTATTTTTCACAGGTCCAGTTCAACTTTATTAGCATTAGCAAATTAACTAGAATCGTGAAAAATAACGACAATATAATAGTCATATCATTACTAAATTACGATCTTATGACTTAGGTCCTACGACTAAAGTATCTAACAAATCGAAACCCAAACCCCATTTTGCTTCCAAACAGCCTCATGAAAGCATGAAAAAATTCTATGATCGCATAGATCGCGAAGCAAATGAAATTGTAACGGAACAAATGAAAGATTTAAAAGAAATTAGAGCAAAAAGGAGAGAGTATGTCTGTCGATTTGAGCTTATACATAATACACTTTAGCGTCAAAGGGTTATCTTTGTGTACGCTATGCAATTTGAATGGGATGGTATTGTACTTAACTCGAGATGCAGTAAATATAATAACTTAAAGTTTATTCGTGTGTTAGATGGACAAATGTAGTATATTTGCAAAAGTTTTATGATCAGATTTATAAGTGCCTGTAGACTGGCCGCTTGATCTGATTTCGTTATACGCAGAGTATAGTTCTGATCGTATAGTCAGTGTATTTGCGATGTAGTCATCATCATACAATCGCAGCAAGATCATTTTTATACGTACCATGAATTTATACCTTTAAAATGAATGAAAAAGAATTTCATTACTACAATTAAACTCAGGTATCTAAAAGTGCGTAGAGAAAAATTAAAGGAAAAAAATAGAAAGAAAAAAGATGATAAACATGACGAATTTAAAGAACTAAAAGGTAATCTAACAAGATTTATAGTATACATAATACCGCATACAATGTGGATAAGAGTTATATCACAATATTGGATTTCAATTTAAATCAGACGAGATTAAATTTGGTGAAGTCGTACAACAACCTCCTAGAATAACGGCAAAACCTAGGAAAAGCGTCGAAAAAGCTGTACGATTCATCCTTGCATTACTATCTAACGATGCGTATTATGTTAGCAATTAAAGATATAATTTTGCTCGTCTTACAGGTTGCCAGCAATTTATTACTTGACAAGCTGCTATCAAAGGATAAAAAAGTTGATTACGACAATAAAGAAGAGAATGATCGAGGTGCCGATTGGAAAAAGAAAAAGTTTCGGGATATGACAACTACAGAAAAGCAAAGTATCCTAGCCGAACGTAGTAAGGCTATCTTAGCCTACAGACAATTAGTGGCTAAGAAAAGATTTGAATCTAAAAAATAAGCATATTCCTAGTATCTTTAGATTAGTCATGGCTATGATTCAGTTTGATATCTGTATTTTATATACATATATAGAAATGTTTTATCAGACGGAGAGAAAAAGAGTCTATTTTATTTTGACCATTTAAATATGCTAATGCTATAAAACCAGTTTTCGTTCTATTCTCACTAAGAAAGGTAGATTGAGGTATTAGTTTTATGTAGTCCGTTATAGCTCAGTGTTTATTATACAGACACATATCAAATATTTTTATATGATTCCTTTCAAAAACGTAAATATATTATCGATAACATTGCTACGGTGTAATGTACTCGCTGTTATTTACCGTAGATAGTAGCAATATAGATACATACTAATTGTAGCCCATAAATTATGGCATGAGTGAATTAGAAGGTCTTTTTAGATCTGTCTTTTGTATCATTCATTTACTGTTAATACGCATGTATATGTTAGCATTATATTCAAAAGAGATTGAATTTAAAATTATTACTGTATTAATTGGAAAGGTGTTTAACGTGATTTTTATTGGCGACTATTTCTTTACTTAACTATGACAGCTCGAATCATTGTAATTACTGTAATGAAGTGCAGACGTTTTAATTAGATCTTTTGATATACGTTAGTATTTTTAATATCACCTTAGCGGACTGTAAATTTATTTTAGGCTTCTATTTATTGCTGTTGATAATTTACATGCGCGTATTGTATGAGGTTATTTGTTATTAAGATGTTCCTAAATAATAGGCTTAAATTTGGGATCAATAATGCTATTTTCGCAATTTATCATAATTATACGATGAGCGATGATAAAACTCGATGTGCTCCCACTGAAATTAAATTAAAGATACATTTTATTAATTCCCAAGTGTTCAATCTTGATAAAACGTAATGTATAAACAACCAACTTTACGTTCTGCTTATTGGTATTTGATAAATCTACTGTCGCGTTATCTTTGAGCTATAGTGAAGGTAGACTTTGTTATCGTATAAGTATTCGAGAAATATTTTCTTTGCATTGAGCTGCAAGTAAAGAAGCTTTTCATAATGCATTCAAATTTTAGTTCCATGTATTGAGTAACAGAGAACTGAGCAACCTGAAGTTAAAGTACAGTACCATAGAAATTTTATTTGCAATGTTTTATTTCGGTATTGTATCTATTAAGTAGAATATTCATTTTCACGTTTCATATAATTTATTATCAGTTAACAACAATGTCTTTATGATTTTCGTCCAGGATTATGATTAGTTTACGTGTAATAGGTATACAAATACATACAGCTGATTCAACATGACGATATTCAACATATTGACATAGATTGAAAGAGTATTATAAATAATTCATTTGGTCAAGACATAGTCAATTAAAATAAGCTAACATGAGGCCTGAAGTAGAAGAGGCAGTTTAGATATTTGTTTGTTTAATTGGCATATGTAAATCATTGATTCCATGGCTCATTATCTTGATAGCCGATCGATGACGATACTCATAAAGTGCATTACTAGGAACGTAATTATTCACATATCTTTATTTTAACCTACTTGAACAGTCAGCCTTTTAGTTTACTTGCATTTTTAGTACAGATGTCTTTACTGTTATTTCCGGTATTATATAGTGATTAAGATTTAAATTGATGTCATCGATTCAAGACATTTGCAGGTCAATCGTAAACAATAGTTGACATTAAAATGATTAAGGCTCAATATTCATTCATTTACACCTCCTAAGATGCCAATAACTGCCGTTTTAAAACAATTTCCAGGCTATAGTTTGGCAACAAACTTTTGCATCGAAATAAGTCTGCATTAATTGGTAATATTGACTGTATAGGTTGATATAGAAAGAAATAGCCGTAGGTCCTCGGAAGACTTTAGTCGATTGTACCTAGGCTATGTTTTATATCTCTTTTAGTCGTGATGTGATCAATTTTTATCATTAGCCATTATGTACAATTTATACATAAAAATTCATTCATGTTTCTCTCTACTCTTTACATATTGTTTATTGAATTACTCTCATTAAAAATGTAACAATATTTATTATTTGACTAATAATAAAGATCCTCAAATGTATTGTAGTTCAAAGATTTTACAGTATTGAAATCGGTCCTTTGATCCGTAATAACACATCGTCCTTCCTTATTTAGTTATGCAGATACTATCATTGTTGCATTAAATACCTATTGCAGTTGAAGATTAACTAGCACAGTTCTTTTTATCATTAATTTTAAGTTAAACTCATAAAATGTAGGGTATCGCGCATTTCTACTAAGCTGATGGAACTATTGTAATATAGCAGTACTTATTTTATGATAAGTATATTATATGTATTGCTGTTAAATCAATATTAGCAAATGACATGATTAAAAGCATGACTAAGGAAGTAATTAAGGCTGCAAAAATAAGATTCGAATCCTTTATTAGCCTTCTTTATTCCTACTAAAATAATCTTAAGACTTTAATGATTATATCTTAGTTCAGGAATGCGGTATATTAAATATAGGCCAGTCCATGCAATCTCTAGACGAGACAAAGATAGAATTTTAGCCAACCAAGGAATATAGAAAAGATATTACCTAGCAGTTTTTCGATGATTTAACTCCTTTCAACGCTCGCATGCCAGTAAAAGTAGATAGTGTTAGACTGTTACTAAAAATTATTATCTATTGACATAGGTATTTGTTTGTTGTGCTTTACCGGACCTCCTAACAACGTATTATAAAAACATTTTGTAGGACTTCGGTAAAAAGTGAGCAACTTGAGATACTGTGAACTACTATACTTCATTGATAGACTATAATTATAAATCTAAATTGGATATGGCCAAGTAGATCAAGATTCTTTTATGGCTAATATCAATTAGTATATCTCTTAAATTAAATATCATGAATGTAGATAACTACGATGAAATGATCTCTTGTTATAAGTTTAAGTACTTGCAGCTGCAATAGCAGACAGTTCTGTATCTATAACAAAGATACTTATAATTGCCAATTAATAATCCAGCGTAAGCCCAACGTCAATGATTGTAGCGCTGAAGAAGCTAGGGCAAGATTATTAGGCAATATTTAGATTATAATAGGTTATTATAATAAGATTTATCCATATCACATCTTACTGAGCACCGATAGTTGTGGTGTTAGAATTAAAGGTCTAAATAAGTAGATCAAATGTTACTAAAATACATTAAATATAATTATGTATCACTGATAACAATATCATATACTGGCAGAATACCTAACTCGTGATACTTGATGTATATTACTCGTATTGTCTGGAATCCTAAACACTATTGCTTTCATTTTATTAAAATATCGAGCCTAATTGTTGAATGGCTCATAAATTTTCATTTAGACCTTGAAAGCTAATAAATAATCTATGTCAATAGAGTATCTGAATAGACTTCTAATTACTGTTATTATTATTTTAATTAAAAAATCGAATCTAACTATTCCATGGCTCATACATTTTCATTAGATCTTGAAAGTTAATAAATAATCTGTGTCAATAGAGTACCTGAGTAGAGCTAGCAAAGCAATGTTTTGAGATCTTTAAACTTATTGCAACCAATTTTACTTCCAATGTTATGGTTTTGAAGTAAAAATAAGATATATGAAAAGCAGCTATTGACATAATGACGAAAGATTCAAATTCATTAATTTCTCTGTCGTGGGGTTAAAAGAATAGCATAAAGAATAAATATTTTGTAATGATAGTTATACGGTTGATAGCTTGTCGTTAGGTTATAGAATTTAAAACTAATTCATTTTCAGTAAGGGGAAGTAAATTAGTTAGATACCTAAATTACAAGAGAGCTCAAAGGTCAGATCGTGTTTTGATCATGACTACATCGTGTTGTATGCGCGTTCTAACGCATTTTAAAATAGAGCATAATGTGGTGCAAATTTAGGTCTAACAATATACGACAGGCATATTCTTTCTTCGTACTAATTTCCATGCATGTATATATAAATACTCTGCTGCTACTCGTGAATGGAGATAGAAAGTATTAAAGTGAACTACTTTTACAATAAAGAGACTTCGCTATTTTGCTATTAATGGGTAAGGAGAAGGTCTATATCGTTTCCACCATGAAGCTTAAAGGAAAAGGTTCATAATTGTTACTGAAAATTAATCTTGATAAGTAGTTTGAGATAGAATAAAACCCTGAAATATCTCCTGTGTACCTTTGTCAAGAGAAGAATACATACATATGTATTTGGTGACAGCCTTCTATCGACTTGATAATTAATAGATAATTGTAGTGAAGGCATTGCGCCATGTTGGAAGATGTTAACCAATTTGTATGATGTCATTGTTGGATTTAGTATCAATGACTGGAGATCAAAATTCTACAAAGGAGTAGACAAATTAGATGGAGATACATTATAATTTAATGACAATAATTTTGGCCTAGGCGTTCATCAATTTCTACAGAAAGTTCTCCGATTTTAACAATTTAAGTGATGAACGTTGCCGATGGAGAATTTTGTAATGGCAATGAGAGTAGGCTGCAAGTTAATCCTTACGAATATTATTCTGGCAATGATAGACTACCTTCATCTATCTTATAGCTTATGTTATAGGATGATGAGAATAATGAATTAAATTAATGAACAGCTCACTATGATGCTTTTAATGATATAATGTAATGTTACAATTTGTGTTAGAATTTGATATTTTGCATATCTAGACTGCTATTAGCCTTTTGTTGGGTATATTATTTGTGATAATGAAACAATCACTGGTATACATTACTATGACTTAAAATTGATGTCTCTAAATTACCTTGGTAATAAATGAATTAATTAGCTAATATTCGTTATGGCTTGATAGTAAATAGATGATATGTTTTAGGATTTGAATTAATTATTTTGAAGGCCAGTATTATGAAGATTGGAAGCTGTTTTTAACCTATTATGAGGTTGAGAATAATAGATATGAGGTAAAACTAATAGTATGCATTAATATCGTAGTATACTATAGAATAAATACGACTTTA